AGAGAAATTGAAAACTCAGTGCGCCGCTGTAGGGATTGCCAAGAAGCCTCCAAAATACCAGTGAAGACGTTGCTGCATTTATGGAAAGTGAAAGATGAACCATGGAATCGACTTCACATTGATTATGCAGGGCCGCTGAATGGTAAGATGTATCTCGTCGTAGTTGACGCTTTCTCGAAATGGCCAGAAGCTTTTGAGATGCCTTCATCGTCAACTACAGCTACTCTGAGAGAACTCACAAGGGAACCGTGTCGAGTCGAAGTGGCCTTTCCAGATGACACCCATACTGCTTTGAAGAGTATTGAGCGGTGATTCCAAATCTGCCTTCCAAATCTGCCAAGCGCTTCTACACGCCGAGTTATGACCGCTCTTTGGAACGAAAAATGCATGCAGATTTTAGGTAAAATTGATTGTTACAATCTTTCCAGGGCTCAGATAAAGCAATTTCAAGTATTAGCATATCAAATAAAATGTATCCAATGCATAAACAGCTCTGATACTTGACACTGGAACATTTAAGCAATTTTGGGCGATTTTGCTTCAGTTTTGCGTTTAATTTTTTGGTCTGAAAAACGAGCATAACTCGGCGTCCAGAGGCGCTTGACAGATTTGGAAAGCAGATTTGGAATCGCCGATTAATGCTCTGTAAAGCACTATGGGTTTCAACTGGGAAGACCACTTCGACTCGAACGGTTCCCTTGTCAGATCTCTATTCGCTCGATTTGGAAATCCGCAAGTGATCGTGTTGGATAATGCGACGCAATTCACAGCAAAGGAGTTCCAAGATTTCTGTGAAGAGCGAGAAATCAAACACATTCGTTCACCTCCATTCCATCCACAGTCAAATGGACAAGCGGAGAGGTTTGTGGATATCTTCAAGAGAACCTTCCAGAAAATTAAGGAGGGAGGAACGGCAGAGAAGCTTGCGGAGTTTCTGCAGTCTTATCGACGGACGCCTTGTACAACTGCTCCAGGACAACGTTTACCTGCCGAGCTGCTCCTAGGACGTCAGATAAGGACACCACTGTCGCTGCTGAATGAAGACTCCAAAGAAGAAGGAGTGGGCAATAAATTTATGGAGAAGCAGTTCAACCGCCGTCACGGAGCACGAAAGAATTCGTACCAGCCAAAAGAAGCCGTGTGAGTACGTGATTTTCGCTCCGGATGTGAAAAATGGATTCCAGCACGAGTGAAGAAACGATATGGAGAAGCGCTATATGGCGTGCTTACGGAAGACGGCCAGTTATGGAGACGACATGCGAACCAGATGCACCGCGCAGCAAGTATGGATCGACATCATGACTCAACACAGTCCATCCCCGACGAAGGCCGACGTAACAATGGTATGGATGTTGCTGAACACCAAGCCACCTCGTCTACGCCACTGACATCAACCAGTCCAAGTCGCCATCGTCGCCCACCAGAACGTCTACAAGTAGATCCTTATTATATGATGCACCGTTGTTCATCTTAGGAGGGAGGTTTTGTGGAGCCGTCCCTTGTATTGGAACTTGCTCACTCACTATAGGATCTCACCTGTGCATCCCTTAAGAATAAATGTCTCAGTCAGCACTTTTATATAACCAAACATATGCATGTAAGTGCGGAAACACAAAGCAGCTCTTCTCATTCTTCTCATCCATCTTACATATGTAAAGCGGAGCGAAAATAATAATATTCTGCTGATTCGATAGTCCTAAGTTAGTTGAAAAGGGAAAACTAACTGATCAACATCCAAGTGCTCAAATAAAAGGTTCCCTCCTTTCTGCTGTTGCGAGTGGATTGATTTGTAAGGTCATGTCATGAACTACTCACATGCAGCTTGTCAAAGAAGTTGTGAATAACAAACGTTCCGAGTTTTCTGTAAAAAAATTAGTGGCATTTCATTTCAAGGTTGTTAGACGAGTAGCACACAGAATTAAAATCTGTTGTAGAGCCGTTCCTTGTATTGGAACTTGCTCAGTCACTATAGGCTAAGTCGATATGGTCTCTGTGGTTGCGGCGTACCCGCCGCACCTTGATATATTTGTGTGTGTTGTTCTCTAGTTATTCTAGTGAACCCTCGGCATGTACGCCGATAGGCAGAGGGGGAACTCTTGTGTTTTTCTAATAAATCGTCAACGGCTCAACGCGTTCCACAACAAAATCAGTAGAAACAATTAGAAAATTCTTATCTTTTCATCTTCTGCTTTGACCAAAGCCTGAATTTTTGACTTCACGTCTTTTCCAAAATGGCAACGCGGGAGGGATCCGAACCATTCTGCTGCCTATAGCAATGCGGAAATAGACTTTTTTGTTTTTGTGACTTACGCAAAGCAAAAAATTCCGACCCTCCACCATCCGTTCCTTAAAAGCGAGTCGAAACCATCGACCCAGACGCTGGCGTTCTTCTGTCGTTTGCAGAGCGGCAGACATGAAAAATTTGCGTCCTGGTTTGGCTAGGTAATCAAGGTTATGAAGATTGAGGGAGTAATTTCAAGTACATTCTGAGAGCTATTATCATTTGACGATTAGTCTGTTTTTTTTTCTATGGCACAAAAATCTACAACGAATATTTATTAATCTTGCAAATTTTTGAAGAGAGAATAGTCTCTGAGTTTTTTTTTACCATATTTGTTTCCTGTCGAAGCCGCGGAAACCATTTGTGGGATTACTTAGTATATTTAGAAAAATAGAGACATTTCCAGCATTTTCCCAGTAAATGAGAAGTCATAAAAATGTATTACTTTTGGTACCTGAAACGTAATACAGCTAAGTAAATTTTCTAGATGTACCAAAAAATGGGAAAACACTGCCTCAAATAGCTCATGAAGTAAACTTCTTTTTTTTTGCGTAAGCTTTGCTATGCGCTCACCCTGAATGACACAAAATTATATGTTTCTCGAAGTGAGCGAGGACAAAAACCTTTGATCTCCGCAATGGAACGACATTAAAGAATGTATTATTTTGTAGGCAAACCATGACGATTCGCAGATTAGCCACACTAGCTCAAAAAGATTTGGCTCCATGCAATCCAGTTTCGTTACTCAGGATAACGCAATAATTTTCTAGCATCTCTTAATCATAATCTAAAAAGGAGCGCTATGGCGGTGATACTTGCCCTAGTGTTGTTTCAGAAAGATTCCATCTTAATAATCGCGAAAACATCCCTTAGGCTTTATTCCAGCAATATTCAGTAGCGAGTAACAGTATCTTGTTTTTCAAATAGCATAAATCATTGCATTTTCGATCGGGTCATTAAGGAGAACTAAAATAAGATGAGCAATTTTATGTAGATAGCTTTTGCATATCAACTCACCAACGGGGACTTTTGGTAAAAAGGCTTGACCAACAGTTATATGAACAAAGTCAACATTGGTACTACTCGTGATGTGTTACTTTGGCAAGTTCTGTCCATGCAAACATTCAATTTTTGTGGACAATTGAAGATAAAGCAATTCCGAAAACAATCACGGGTTTGACTGTAAACTTTCCACCAAATAATCTGATTGCGAGTTATCTGCGTTTCAAGTGTTTCTTTCTACCTATAAGCAGATTTTTGAAGAAGTGCGTAATTAATTTGGCACGCTCTACTTAACAGATTGTTGACATCTATCCCACTGACGTGTTCTGTGAAGTAATTTTGAAAAAGGAAACCGTGCGAATTGTCCAGAAGACTCCCATATAATGATTTCGAGCATACGCGCGTATGCACATCATTATGTGGAAGTCTTTTTGACGCTTGTTCATGAAACATGCAAACCATTATTTTTAAAAACTAGTAAACCAGTAAAAGGCGCTAGGCATCCGCGCGCTGGGACCGCCACGCGGTTTCCCGCTATTTGCACATTTTTGAGTTGCGCTTACGATTCTTTACATATTAATACTTGTATCTTACAGAGTCTTATGAGGAATTACATGCACGAAGATTTCTGCATCATTTTTTCTTCAATAAGCTATGCAATGGCTGTGTGTGAGAATCTCTCTCCGAGGAAAGCGTTATAATATTGGGTATTTTTTTGCCCAAGTTCATCTTTGATTCCTCTCAGAACAGTTGTACAAGTTCCAACCTTCTCATAAGGGGAAGAATCTCGATCGAAATGGCATTCCCAGATGAAATGTATATTGAAATGTATATTGTGTTAAAGAGCATGGAACACTGATTTCAAATCTGCTTTCGTTATCTGCAAAGCTTTTTTGGAAGAAGAGTTATGGGACTTTTTTAAAGCAGAAATTTGGCTACGAGGCCAATAAAATCATCAGTGTAGCCCGTGAGCTCAAATGGGGCTATGATTACTGCCAGGGTGCTTAGTGTAATTATTAGCTTCAGTCCAACAATTTATGCCGTCATTACTTCCTTTACGCATTGGAAGATTCAACGCCTGTTTTTACCTCAGTCAAGCTCTTGAATTTTGTTTAAAAACATTCCCATTATCCCTTCCCACAGAACCTTTGCAGATGATAAAAGCAGATTCGAAATCAGCGTTCCATGAGCTATAAGACACTGTACATTTTATATGGAAACTCCACTTCGGCCAAGTATGCTTTCCTTGTCAATAAAACACAATTGACATATTTTAATAGCTAAACTTGCGTTCTAAACTTTTGTAAAGCTACCGCAATGACTCTATATGACAATCGGGCAACCAGTATTGTTACTGCATATGTTACCTTAGCACTTTTTTTACACCTGAAAAACCAGTGTGCATACGTCTTATGCACCAAAGTGCTAAATGGGAGCTCCGGCGTGCATACGCGCGTTTGCACGCGGTCATCGACGTGAGGTATAATGCTGACAATGTACAGGCCGGCGAGGGAATCGCAAATGTGTGTTTTTCAATTGGTAATTCATCGTACACTTCCATGAATCTACTAAATTTGAACATTTGACGTGGGACAAAGAACAGAATTGTGTTAGCAAGGTAAGATAAGCATACCAGCTATTCCCTCGTACATTGTTAAAATGTGAAAATTGCTGATAACTGAATAATATTGCTGTTGCTGTGTGGTGAAAACATTGACTAACGCATCATAATAACTTCATACTGGTATGTGGCGCAAAAAGCTCAATTAGGTACAGGACCAAGAATCTCTCCACGCAGGTTCTTCTGTTGACCACCGGGACAGTCCTCACAGACACATCTCCAAGAGAAAGATTTTCCTTTTACTTTTTCGCAGTGTGCGTTTTGGCAATTCTGAATTTCAATTCAATGAATCAATTCTTAAATTGATGATTCGATTAGATGAGTAAATAGGCATACTAATTGTTTCAAGCAGCGTGCTCTGCACCCATGATCATTGTTAAGGAAGCAAGGTGGCCACGGAGCACCGTGGCCGCATAACTTCTTTTTTGGCAGCATGACTGGCAGTATGACGCCTGAGATTTCCAAAACGAATAACAGTAGTGCAAATGCAACAAAATGGCGCATCATTTCCTAAAAAAAGAAGAATGATTAGTTGGCAAATTTCATCTGATATTGATATAGTGCAATATAATAGGAAAGATTCAAAACTTTACTTGTTTTGTTTGGCTAGGTATTATTATAGCTCATTTCAACATACATACCGCTCGCATGTCCTGGAAAAAACGACGCAGAGTCGCCCGATTCACTTGACATCGCCGTAGCGTGACCATATCTCTCTTCAGAGTGGTAATTCTTGATCCAAAGCTACCCTTCGACTCAACTCGGCGCGCGCATCTTCTGATGTATAGAATTGCCAGCTTGAACATTGTAGGAGGTCAGATTTCACGATTCGTTTTAATTTTTTGCTCACGGTAGGTTGCCCAGTGAGTGCAATGATTAAGCGCACCGAGTAACCTACCGTAAGCAAAAATTTAAAACGATTCCTATCTGGCTCCCACTGTGTCTAGGCGGACACTTCTGGGCATTGGAAGATGCGCCGCGCCGAGCTGAATCGAATGCTGTCCTCGAATCAAGAATTTGTCCACACTGAAGCGAGATATATACATGCGACAGTGATGTCACATAAATCGGGCGACCGTGCGTCATTCTTTCAAAAAATACGGTATTGTATGATGTTTGTGTGTTAGGCCAGCTTCCACACCAGTTTTTAGGCACTAAAAATGTTCAGATTGTGTGGTTCTGCATCAGCCAACCTGTTCTGACTTTTCTTGAAAGACTCACTACCAGGAAAACTATCTATCGCAGTTGTTGATCACATCAGGGCCCAAGAAAATTCATTTACAAATTGAATTTGTAAAGATTTCAAGTATCATTGCAATACTTAGGAAATAAACAAGTAATTGCACAGCTTTCAACTCTGTGGGATACTCTCACGAATTTTGTAGAATTCTGCTTTTACCATTTGAGGCTAAATGCAGGCACGACCGAAGTTTAAAGAGTGGGAATCATAGTAAGATCTTTTGTCTAGTTAACGTACTATTATTTCTTTGAAAAAATGTTGCTTTTTTATTTTGTTCTTGAACTTTGCTTGCGTTTCTGCTGCCAGAAAATCCATACCAATGCAGCGTTATTGCATTTTGGGTTGATTTGTGAAATGAAGCTGAGGAATGTAAGGTAAGAGGAATAACTCGAAAGCGTAAAGAAGTGCACAAAAGATTCAAAATGACTCCGCTAATAGCAATTCCATCATTTATTAGTACTGATGTTTTCGTTATCAAATTGGTACGCCCTCTACTAAAACCATTATCTTTGCCAATGCATGAGCGAATAGAAACTATCAGTGCTATCGTACCACCTTTTCATCAATATAATGATGTTAAGCGCTTGAAATCGCTGACATTAGATGCTTTGTGCTTACTAAGATAGCACGCGATGTCACATGTTTGGCGCTGACTAGAACTTCCAATCTTGTGGCATGTCGATTCTGCAGTGTCATATGTAAAAAAATAGAGATGGCATTGAAAATTCGAAGCTGACTTGATGAGAGGTTTGGTCAATTTATTTTTTAATGTTATTCCCAAAACAAATTGTCGCTTTTAAACTAATCTCGTCTCTTTTGAGAATCATACAGGGTGTCCCAAAAGAAAAATATGAACGACTGCTTGATCGTTAATAACCCTCTTGCTTTCATGTCTTTGTCTTTCATGCTTTCATGGCGAACTTCAGGTATCACTCTGTAGGACGAGGTTCAACTTACATAGCTACGCAGTATGGACCGGATTACCAGTCACTCTCTACTAATGTAGGATTACGGTATGAAATCAGCATAAATCGATTTTTTTCCATCAAATGGCCGTTGATGGAAAAATTCCAAAAAAATTCTGGATTGTGTGGCAAGGTTTTCAAGCGTGCAGATTTCACTAAAAACTTTCCACCGAAAATTAATGCAGGTTTTGAATTCCAACCGCAGTAAGTCATACATTTTTTTTCTAAACAGGTTGCAAGACACCACGGAAATTTTCGTGCATTTGCCAAAGTGATGCTGTGCCGTTCCCACACAAGTAGTTGTATACTACAAATCTGTAGAAGTACAAACGTAGATTTTTAGCTCTATAGCTTTAGTTCTCGAGAAATATCGAATACAGTTTCCCCTAATCATGTAGTCCAATCTAAAATTCAAATTTCTCGAGATCTGAAGCTAAAAGAGAGCGAGAATTTACGTTTGTACTCTTACAGATTACTAAACGGCACAGCATCACTTCAGCAAATGCACGGAAATTTCCGTTTTCTTGGTTTCAACAGAGAAAAAAATACGGCAACGGCGTATATAGATGCCCGATGTGGACTATGTTTACGTGAGCAAGTTAGAATTTTTGTAGGCTTTTTGAAATCTAGATTACAATTTTTCTCAATTTTTCGGGCACTTGAATCTTTTTAGTTTTTGGCTTGAAAATCGTGGTGGATCAGAGCTTTTGCTAAAGCAGGATAGCCCTCTTGTAGAGCTTGCTTTGCTCTATCGAATGGTATCTTGCAACCTATTCAGAAATGAGAAGCGTATGACTTATCGCGGTTGAAAATCAAAACCTGCATTAATTTCCGGACAACCTAATACATGACTTCTGTCTCTCTCTTAGGCCCGTATGCACGTACATCCCCGCGGGGAGGGGATGTGCGCTTAACCATTGAAATGATCCCCGCTGGGGATCCCCTCCCCTCCCCGCGCGAACCCCCGTATGCACAAAGACAATATCGGACAAGGGATCCCCTGTGGGGAGGGGAATTGAACCCTCTTATGCACAAGAGGGGATCAAGCGGGGAAATCACCTTGCTTTCAAATTTTCTATGAAAAACTCTTTCTTATTTCATACTTTGACTGCAACTCATCTTCATCTCCTCACTTTCATTAATTTAGGGTTGCGGAATGCGCGTATGCAGTGACTGCGCTCGGGGCACTAAAATTGATTTTTTCTACTCCCACTATGTTCCTGCTTTCTTGGATGCTGCCCACTTTCGCTCATGCTGCTCCATTTCAGCGTAAAAATGTTGAACTGTAGAAGTTGATGTGTCTCTGCAAGGGAATGGGTAGAAGACGTTAGGCTGCCTAAAAGGGGGGGGGGTGCCGCGCGGACGCTCAAAGCAGTATTCTAACACATAACAGAAGCTGCAAATTGTGCCAGCTCTCCATAAACGCTGTAGCTATCAGCTGCATATCGTCCTTTATCCCAGGGGAATGATCCCCAGCAGCCATCCCTGCTATGCACAAGGGGAACGCTGGGGAGGGGATCACTCCCCAGGGGATTTCTACTCAGAAATAGGCAAATATGCTACTTTCTAGATTTTTTCGAGGCAGCTTATGTTAAAATAACAAGATAATGGCAACATGTCATGAAATATGAAAGTTACAATGTGTTTACTCAGCCTATATAGTTAAAACTGTTATGTTATATGAAAAATGCGCAAATTTCCTGAATGATCAAGAACTCCTACAAATAATCGAAATTGGCAGCTATTGTTGCTCGGATTTTTTCTCAAGAGGCGAATATAGAAAAGAAAGACAAATTGCAAGCCACAGGTCGCTGAGAGAAGAACTCGGCTTTCAAAGAAAATCCTCCATCAAAATGAACGAAATGCTTGGTAATGACTGAGCAGAACCAGAATATCCGCGTCTCTGGCATGATCTACACCATCGAACCCCTACTTCGTTGCAGGGGATGTCGATCCCCTCCCCCGCGTTACTGAGTTGAATTCGCGCATACGGGGTTCGAGTGGGGGAAGGGAGGGGATCCCCTCCCCCATTCGAGCCCCGTATGCACTGGGGTTCGCTCGATCAATACCTCTGAAACCATTCACACCATCCCCGCTTAGGTGCAGGGGAGGGGATCGCTCCCCTCCTCTCTGTCATGGCGGGTTTCGGCGGAGGGGATCGTTCCCCTGGGGATCCAGCTCCCCTCCCCTCCCCAGCGGGGACGTACGTGCATACGGGCCTTAGAAGTTTTCGTGCAAGCAAAGCACGTGTGATAATTTTTTCTCTAAGATTTTTGTAACTCCATTGGGGTCGCAATTTGCTGCAATCGCAAAGCGCAAATGTTTCATTTTCACCTAATGTCCGGTAAAATTACTTTCTCCTTCCGTTTCCCTCTTTTTATTCTTTTAACTATTGTGCTACTCATGAGCTTTTTGTCATTCGCTAAAGAGCGGGATTTTGTAGTTGGGGAAGATAGGGAGAGATCGGGGTGGGGGGGGGGATGAGGGGAAAGAAAGGGTTCCCTTATGCTACGCCGCAGGACGCAGCGTGCTGCGGCGCAGTATGAAGGAACACAAAGTTTAATGGAGAGAAGAAGAACAAGAAATGAGTAGTGAAGGCCAAAAGAAATAGGGATCAAAGGCCAAATTATAGAGGGACTTTCAAAAACTCATTGGTTCCAACACGTGTCGAGTCTTGGCCTCCTACAAATTCAGTAAGTTGTTGTATCCCCATAATCAGTGAATTTGCAAGATTGTACCGAAAATTATGCTCTTTCGTAAGCTGATAATACTCGCTTTTGTGGTTTTGGTGTATAGCTATTTTAGCTATAGCTAGCTTTCCTATCAAGTAAATGCCCAAGTCCTGGCGCAATCTCGCTTCAGAATCGAGAAAATTGCTAGGAAATAACGAAGATGCACGAGAATCCTCAGACGGCACCGCCCTCCCCATCCACGCCCGCCCATCCGTTCGCGCCCGTCCCATCACCGTTCCGGAAAGCCCGCCTGTGGGTTCTCCGGAACGGGAATTGTAGGTATTTTCGCGGATTCTCGACTTCATATTCGACGTCAGAGTCATGAGAAGGCCCTGAAGCGACAAAAATTTGGAAGTCGAGAATCTGGGTGGGTTGTGCCTCCAACAAATTGGTCATTATTGGTCAGCTGCATTATTGGTAACGTAATTATAAAGAGGTTTCAAAACATGTTGAGCGTTTTAAAACTTGGCTCATCATAAGATAACACTTTTCAATGGTACTACTTAAATTGTGATTTATTTACCAAAGCATGTACAAAGAAGGCAAAGTACTCAAAATGTATGTAAGCTTCAAAGCTG